TTCTGTCATCGCGGTCGCGGAGCTGGTGTGGCCGGCGTTGACGAAGGGGTACCAGATCTGGCTCCGGCTAGGGATCAGATTCGGTCGATCGTGATAGGTGCCGAGCTAGGTAGGGGATCCAGATCCGGCTTGTACCATCATCGAGGCAGTCCTTCCATCGTCAGTTGATCGACCTGCTGTCGACGAATCGAAGGGGATTCGGCTCCGGCTATGGTTCAGAAATGTATGAGAGGGGTGTGGCTAGAGAGTTGAGAGGGAGTCAAGCTGCTGTTCCGATGACGCCTATGTTCAGGAGCGGGTTGGCAGAGGGGGTGGCTGGAGAGTGGAAAGGGAGGCCATGGGATTAGGATTTGGAGCTGGAGGAGAGACGGTGCGGCTGGAGAATGGAGATGGAGACAGAGACGGCGACTCTTTGCGCTTTTATGTGGCCATCACATTACCACAAATGCCCTTGTCTAAAATCAATGGCGTGGTAAACCTATTTTCCGCGCAGAGGGCAAAAGAGAGACATCTAATTTTTGGTGCGTGTTGGCCAGACTGCTCGGGGCGGTGCGAAATCAAATTTTCGGGCAGGCAGACCGCCCCGTCTGCTTAGCAGAGACCGGAATTTTGGGTGGCCTTAGTTGTTGCCTTTTTTGGTTTTTTCATAATATAAATAAACATAAAACTAAAAGAGAATGATAATAAACAATTAAAAGATCCATGAATTTGACACCTAAAGATTATCGAAAAAAGAAAAAATAAACCTACTCGCTGCAGCTTATTGCGCTGCAACTGACGATTTTTTTGTGTGTGACTGCATCTGCGACTGTTTGAACTAAGGTCTAAGGGATGGAAAACCCTCCAAAAAAACTAAATGGGTTATTCAAATAGTATCCCCATGGATTTCCCACCCTGGAAAAAGTAGTCATGGATTCTAAGGTGCTTTGAGTTTCTAGAGAAGAGAAAAAAATTAAAGCATCCTCCTCCTGGCTAGCGCTCTTGAGATTTGCTGACTCGCCAGTACTCCGGATCCTCCTCCTCGCTGGAGTCGCAATCGGTGCTGTACTTTCCATCACTCGAGTATGTCCCCATTGTTCGTGAGCCTCGAGCCGGTCACCAACGCCATCTTAGCGAAAGTGAATGTGGACGACAACATCATGCACGCCCGCCTCGACCCTTGATCTGTGGGACGTGTTAGTAGTACAAGTCATGACTAGGCTTGGTCTGTGGGACGACCGTATGCGAAGTCTTATTCGCATGCATGTCTGTTAACTTTTGTTGAACTTTGTATTAGGTCGATTAAACTCTGTTGAGCGTTGTGTAGTTCAGGTCCTTTAGTCATTTAGTAACTGGTTATACTAACGGTGTTTGCCCTTTCTGATCGGAGGACGTGGGTGTATAGATGTTGAAATTTTCTGGACCCTAAGACAGTCCGACCCTACAAAATATAGACGGTCCGGATCACTACGAAATACAGGGGCCATCCAAGTAGTCCATAGAACCCGATTACCAGGGGCTAACAACTAGTTCTAATCTATAGAACCCAACAATTAGTTGAGGATACAAACAGGTAAGGACTAATAACACAACTAATTGGCTGATTCTTAGTTGGCTATTTTTTAGCTATGGCTAACTAGTCGCAGTCCATCTAAACAGGGCCTAAGACAGTCTGATACTAAAGAAATCTTGACATGCCGGATCATAGTTTTGATGAAACAACAAAATACAGATCGTGTCAACTCTTGCGCCATATATGTGGGGTCGTGGGCGCGCAGCCGCGCGCGCGTGGGTCATGGGGTGGTCCACGACCCACGAACTATATAACAACAGAGACAAGGGGCGAGAGGAAGGCTCTCTAGAGCTCCTGCTTCAGTTCCATCCCAAAGCTTTTGCCCTCCTCCCTACTACCGGGCATCTTTGTTCTTCGTTTCTTTTGCATATTGTTTTCATGTTTACACAGATCATGGATAACTATGATCATTCTTGGGACATGTCTGTGTATCGCTGTCTTCCGCGAGCTTCGTGTTTGCCATGGCCTACAAACAAGGGTTATAGTGCTTGCAGTGCATTCTAACTTTTACAGTAGGTGGTACATTGCTTCTGTAGTTGTTCATCAAGTTCTTGGCCATTGAAACTACCGTCTTGCTGAGGATCATCTAGGACCCTATGTGTTTCTTGCGGTTTGTTCAAATGCAGATCTCCAAACTTTTCTTTCATAGCGCTATGAGTTTTGTGGTGCAGAAGTATTTTCTTATTATATCCGTTATCTTACAATTCGTCCGAATGATCCATAGATTGGTGGAGTTCATGCAGTTCCTCTCAACTGAGCAGTAGCAACATGGTCAGATGATGTTAATGTTTAGTATCTCACAACACTGATGTTCTGATTTGTGTTTTCAATGTTCACTGGAGACAATTGTGATGTTCTTTAGTTTATCTTGTTGTAATAATATCCATGTAAATAGACTTTTGTTGAACTTTGTATTAGGTGGGTTAAACTCTGTTGACCAAATATATATAGACAAGTACAATATTGACGAAATGACATTTACCTATTTCTTGTAAATCGTATGCACGCCTCATTGTCCGAGTCGTGTAAATTTGACCAGCCCAGACATTTTACTCTGCTACTGAGCTATGACTAGAACTTTTGCCAAATCGGTTGTGCTGCAAAGAACAGCTGCACCAGCTGTGGCTGCATGCATGAAATACTAGTAAGGTAGTTGGATTTGAAGCGGCATCTGCAGCCACAGCCGAGTGAGTACAGACAATTAGGACCTATGAAACCATGTAGCCATCTCTAGCTAGCTGCTGCTCTGCAAAACCAAGCAAGAGAAATTGCTTACGGAAGCAAGAGCAACTCGTCTTCACTCTTCAATCTGTCCCTCAACTGCTATGAATGCTTGGAGTGAAATAACTACAGAGGCTTTCGTCATGCATTCAATTCACTCATCACAACCGTGCAAGGGTTTCTTTGTGCCTTGGTTTGTTGAACCAAACAAGTATCAGTAGTACTAATAGTCATGAGTGGCTTTGATCTTGCAAGAACCAAACACGTATCAGTAGTCTTTGATAAAATTTGTTGAACTTGCAAGAACCATGCATCAAGGAGTTCATCTCAACAAGTATCGCCTTAGATCTAATGCATAACGACATAGCTGTTGAATTTTACTGCAGACACAAGAAAGTCCGGCCGCTGTATATTTGATCTTGTAGGACACAGTATAAAGGGTCGTCAGTTTTGAATGTCATAGCAACCAATCTGTCCCTCGACTGTTGTGACTGCTTGGATTGGAGAAAAAAAAGTAAAGAAAAGACCCATCACAACCGCACTAAGCATTCAAGTCTCAAGCGTGTCATGGTGGTCAAAAGCTCTTTTTCTCGATTCCTCATTGTGTCTAGCTTTCCTGCCGCATTCACTGCTAGGTGTGGAGCCAGGAGAACAGAGCAGGTTGCTTGTGACTTGGGGCGTCGTGTACATGACCGAGCTGCGCAATGCCTAATCGTTGAAGCTGTTGTTCGTGCGGTTGTTGGGCAACAACATATTACCAGAGTTGTTGAAGACCATGATTCTGGAGAAATCTTTATGCTTTGCAGCACTATGTGGATGCCCATCGGCTCTCTGACTACAGTGTCGACATAGTGGAGACCGCATCATTTTCAAGATGGTTCACCGTCTCAACTTGATCGGAAGTCCTTATGACCTCAACTATCTGAACAAGACCAAACCGATTCGACGATAATGAGATTTTGTGTGCTCTGAGTACTGTTCGTTGTCCTGTATCAGTATTACTAGTAGTAGTAGTAGTAGCAGCCATGACTGACTTTGATTTGTGGGATAGCACAAAGTCATGTAGTGTATGTGTTGAGCTCATGTAGTAGGAACCCTTGCTAATATAGTATGTTGTGTTATTTGCATGTCTGTGTCAAACTTTGTTAAATTTTCTAGAACCTTGAACCGAGGAGCAAGTCTGGCATTAATCTAATGCAGAAAATAAGAGTCATTGGTGTTGAAATGTTACTGAACAAGCAAGAAAGTCCGCCTACCGTTTTTTTGAACGCCTCGGACAGTGAAGATGTTGTAGTGGATGAAGTTTCCTCACTTGATTTCTGTTTATTTTTTTGTTGCCTTGGGTGTCTGACCTGATGGCATGAAGCCATGTATTTTATGTGTTGAGCACATGTACGAGAAGGCAACCGCACATTCCTCGCGGTTTAGATCTGCGGAGGGAATGCGAGAGCTCCGAGAAGGTAGGAAATAAAGCAAGCGGAGTTGCGGACAAGATCGCGGTGGTTAGAGCGACGGAGCAGAGACTTAGTCAAAGATTCTGAATTTTGACCAAATATATATAGAGGAGTATGATGTGTAATAAGTATTTTATACAACATAAAACAATGAGCTTAATCAATAATCCTCTTCGGTGAAGTGCGAAAGGAATCTCTGCACTGCTTGGTCAAGATACATAGACAAATCTCGTCGGCACATCGGGCAGGTGGATCTCCGGCTGAACCACTTGGTGATGCACTTGTGGTGGAATGCGTGGCCGCAGCCGGGCATTTCCACAGCATGGCCGGCCGCAGGATTAGATGTTTCATCCTCCAGGCAGATGCTGTAATCCCGACACCCCGTTGGCGCCACACGATTTTCAGTCCATGACTCCTGTAGTCCCGACACCCCGTTGGCGCCGCAAGATTTTCAGTCCATGACTAAAAGCTCAACTCAGTTAACATGTATTCTACTGTTTTGATGTGTCAGGATCAAGGTACGGGCCAAAAACAAAATCAGCCACATCTATTCTTGTCATCAGTCCATCACCCAACAAAGATGATGATGGTAATTACAACCAATGTTACTTTGCAGAACCGTTCACCATTACTTCCACATATATAACGCTTTCAGCTGTTTTATGTCCTCAAACTGAAAGGTTATCTCAGAACGCTTCCGGTCAGTAGACCGCATCAAATCTATCCACCATTACAGAAGAGTTGCAGAATTTTCAGAAACTATGAGACAATTCTCATGTCACAGTATCAGGGGCAGCAGTGCTTAAATGCTTTTGGTTGCCGAAGAGATGAATTTCAACGTTGTCAGAAGTTCCGCTCTCGTACTCCTCTACTGTGCTGGTGCATCTATCTGGGGATACACTAATGCCGCAGCACCTGAATTCACAAGAGAAGAAGAAAATCAATGAGATAAGAGTAGACAGTCAGCTCCAAGATTAACACTATTGGCTAATAAGCAGAAAACTGAATTATCTGAACTGGAGATCACATTATGGGAACAGCTGAATCTGTAAACTGACCACCATGGTAGAAATGCAATCGGACAATTTTGACCAAGTTAAGAATCTGTCAAAGGACTGCTAAATCCTATGCAGCACTATGAACACTACAGACCTGAGAATGACTGAATGAGGCTATTTCCATTCGAGTGCTTCTTCTATGTACAGCATGTTTTAGATTAGTCCTAACCAAACGAAGTAAACCATTACCTCAATCACAAGTTGACTAAAATGTAGAGCCCCAAAAAGCCATGAAGAGGATACTACAGGCAACAACTATTCAAAATTAAACGAGTTTCTCTGAGCATTAGGGCTATGGAAAACAACAGGCAAGATGCAATTCCTGTTGTCAGTATGACACTATGTTCTACTCAAAATCTATCATGCAGATATTTTTTCACTGATCTCTTTGCATAACAAGTTCAGAACTACAGAACCAAACTTGAGCTACAGGTGCAAACATTGAACATCTCACATGCTGAAACTGTGAGAGCACAAGCAGATAACAAGTGCTGTACAGGCTGCTGAGAAAATTGCAGAGTAGTCACCTGGTGATTCGGTCCTGAAGACGACGATGTTCATGGAATCTAAGCTGCTAGGCAGGTCGTCGGTGACCAGCGGCATTAGCCGCCCATGCGAGCCGGGCAGCATGCACAGCGTGTAGGCGGACATGTCCTCGTTCCACTTCAAGTCGTGCTGAAGTTGCACCAGCTCGTACCTCAGGTTGGTCACGGAGCTGTCGTAGAAAGCGAATGAGGGCCAGTTGTGATGGTTCTGGTCAAACTCCCCTTCATCGCTCGCCCGCACGTGCCGGATCGTCCGCGGCGGATGCGGAAACAACAGGCCACCGGGGGCTCCCTGTGTTTAGGAAAAGAATTAAATTAAAGAAATCAAACGCCTGGACAGTAGCGGTAACAGAATGAACATGTCTGAATATACATTTTACTCACAACTGAATGTTCAGAGACCAAATTCTTTCGAAATCTCTCACAGAAATCAGTAAAACAAAAACCATTGCGATCGATCCGGTATGAAATGAGGAAGACCAAATAGCGCGAATCTTTCAAGTATACATCGTAACAAAGAACTCCAATGGTGACCTCAGCTTGGGCTTTCCGCATACCATGATTCGACGCAGATTTAACGAATGACAGATAAATTCGTAAAGCAAAGGGGTACAATCTGGAATAGACAATACTTTGTGGAGGAGTGGTAGGGAACGGGAAGGCGAACACCAAAATAGCGCAAATCATTCGAGTACACATCGTAACAAAGTGCTCCAATGGAGTCCGTACCATGATTCGACTCAGAAATAACGGATGACAGATAAATTCGTAAAGCGCAGGGACCACAATCTAGAATACACAGTAATTTGTGGATTTTAATCCTGGGCATCGGATTTAAAACTTGTCAGCAAGAATTAACAGGTTCAGTAGTCTTGTATCGGAAGAAACGAACAGTTTCAGACTCAGGCAAGGATAAACGCAAAGATTGCGATGCAGTAATCAGACTTTTGGGAACTGGGAAGGCGAAAATCAAAACCAACGCATCCATGATTGGTGTTCCAAGTAAAGCTAGCCGATCGAGGACAGTTGCATTCCAACGCAACGCAATGCAAGGAAGGAGAAAGGATGGCGAAGCCACGCACCTGATCCTCAAGTGTAAGCGGAAGGGGTTGCGGTACCGGGCTCGCTGCGACTTGGTGGACCGTCCAGTGCATCATGGTGGTGACCCTGGGGGCGTCTGGATCGACGTCGGCGGTGACGCGGATGTTCCAGGCGAGGTACCTGCCGTTGGCGCGGAGGTAGCAGGTGAGGTAGCGCAGGCTGACGTAGTCCTGGTCGGGGGGGTTCAGCCTCTCGACCGTCCACATCCACGGGTAGGCGTTGAGGTTCTGCAGCACGTTGGGCTCGCTGCGGTCCATCTGGGTGGTGCGGCGGCCACGGTGGCCGGTCTGCGCCTTCCGCATCGAGAACGAGAGGTAGCGGCCGTAGGCGGCGTTCTGGAGGAGGACGAAGGTGTTCCCCTGGTCCGGCGAGACCCAGTGCTCCACCCGCCACACCGCGTTCAGGGATGGGACGGGTCCGTTCGGGCGCAGGGAGACCCTCTCCCAGTCCTCGTCGGCGTGGACGTACTTGCCTGTCACGCGGCTCTCCAGCCGCACGAAGGCCCCGTCGGGCAAGAGATCCATCGCCTGGTGGTGGTGGTGGTGGGGCAGATGACCGCCGGGCTGTTGCGGGGAGGGGATTCGGAATGGGAGGGAGCGGCGAGAGCAGAGCAGGTGTTCGTTGGCAGAGCAGGACGGTGGCGTCGTTTGGGCACCACGCCAAGGCGGCGGAGGCGGGGTATTTCAAGGCCATGGCTTCTGGTTCTGGACTCGCAACGTGGGCGTGGCCTCCTTCCACTGACATGCGGGTCCATTTCCTGGGCGCGGAGACGAGGCGGCCAGCTGGCGCTCCAACCAATCCTGTCCAGCTGGCCAATACGGCCTCGCCTGCTGCCTGCTGCGAACTCAATTGGGAAGGATCCGTTGCGACGGCATTCCGAGCCCGGCCCACTAGCCCAGGCGGCCGCACGAGCTCACCGAGCCGACGCTGCTAGCCTGCTACGATTATCCAGACACTATTTTACCGGTGTTAAAGTTTTCATATGGTTTCCTTCTGTTTGTTTTCTGGCATGATAAGTCCGACTGGTGCTGGTTTATTATGAGAGAAAAACACTATATCATAGCTGATAAGTCCTGACTGAAACCAATAAATGAACAGGCTGCTTGTGTGCAAAGAGATGCATGTCTAAACTATTACAGGTGAATAAAGTTTAACAAATATGGCAAACACGTCCTAGTAAGAGCTAAGAGGTAGTCAAAAGGTATTATAGCGGCAGAACGCCAATGTCGTTTTGTAAGCATGATGATGTAAACCATCTTGATATGTCGTCTCAGCGAGCCAGTTACGTAATTATTTAACCTCTCCGGAATTCACATCAGAAACAGTGAAAACGATGCAAAAACAGTATTCGTAGCACCACTGCAACGCCATGTTCGCTTTGGCTTATAAATCTTTCAGCCAACGAACAGTATTTTTCTCTCACAACAAATCAGCTAACAGTACTTTAAGCAAACAGGGCAGAGATATTGATCAAACCAGGTTTCACAGATAAACATATGTAGCCTAGCTCAGCAAGCAAGAAATAACATGTTGAGTGAACTGGGCAAAACCAGAGCAACAGTAACCATGAACTAAAGCATTTGCCGTCGTGTGCGATTTGTTTTACCACCATTAAAATAACCTTGCCTTTTTACAAACTTCCATCTAATAAGAAGGAACCAAAGTATAACCTTCACCAGAATCAAAATCTCTCTATCCGGGTCGCATTTAGCTCCCAGAAACGAAATGCCTAGGGGTCTATTGCTTCTCCGCCGCACATCAGCTCTCTTATAATCCGTCTTTTTCATCTTGTTTTTTCATAACAGTGTTTTTCTCTCACAACAAATCAGCCGGAACAGTGTTTCGACTTGTTTTTTCAGCGAAGCGAACGGGGCCTAAAGAAAACTAAACCTACTGGTGTTTCTCAGTGACGCTCTCATGTTGCAGAACAATAGAGACAAAGAAAAGGACTTCAAGCACTCGAGCGAAGCTCACTTCTTGTTCTTGGGGCGTTGCAGCGTGAAGGTCTGGTTAGAGTCTGCTTCCTCAATGAGTGGTGGCATCGTGCTCGCCTCAGAAGATGGGGCAGCAGGACTGATCTCTCCTGATTCCTCCAGCTCTTCTATCTGGGGTGGCTCTTTAATGCCTGGTTGTGGGAATGGATATGCTCATACGTCTTCATCGCCTGGGCCACGAAAGATGCTGGGCTGGCACTGTCACCTGGAAGGAGCATTGTATTTGTCTGGATTTGAAAAAGAAAACATCAGCAATTTCAAATTCACAGAAGGAGCTGGACACAAAGAAGAGTAACAGAACTATGACAATCTCACCTTTTGTGCCAGATTTGAGAACGCTTCGATGTATTGCTCTGCAAGTTTTAGGCTAGCAGCCTAGCACAGAAATATAACATTGTTAGCATTTAAGAGCACAAATGTTGTAGTTAGTACTTAGTACCATTTTGATGGTCAAGAACACTCAATACCTTGGCACTGCCTTCAGTTGTCATCGCATCTGAAACCAATCTCATTCCACGAGCAGTAGCTTCTGACTTGGCAAGAATTGCTTCGGCCGCACCTGGTGGTGATAGCCAGAATAAGTAAATTCTAATGATGGGGGGAATAAAGAAATGCAAGATCCTTTAGAAGAAAACAAATTGCAAATATTTACAATGTTCAATTTAACTAAACAGCACCAATAGCCATCATCAAATAAGGTAAAACAGTGGTGGAATAATGCATGCTGAACGGGTTTACCAAAAAAAAATGAGAACATGGTAATAAGGTGTGTGGAATGTCACATACCCTTCGCACGGTTTGCTATATCCAACATAGCTCCTGGTACAACAAATGAAATATGTCAAGTTCAACCCCCCCATATATCAAATCAAATACATCTCTCAAATGCGGAAGACGTTAAAGGCCATCATATCAATATTTCAGTATGTAGAATTAAAACCACATATTAAGCTAAAAAGAAAAAAAGGTTTGTGCAGTCATCACCTTCAGATTCAAGGATCTGGGCAGTTTTTTTCCCTTCGGATTCAAGGATTTGGGCCTGTTTCTTCCCTTCAGACTCGAGGATTTGGGCGCGCTTTCTCCTTTCTGCTTCAGCCTGCATCTCCATAGCCTGCTTGATCCCTGTTGGAGGAGTTATGTCCCCTGCATTGTCAAATTTAAAACATTAGAAACAATGACATTTGAAACAATGCATGTATTATAACTCAAATGATTAAACAGGAAAAAAACGACATACTGATCTCATAGCGGATACACTTCAGGCCCCAATCTGTGGCTGCCTCATTGATGGCACTCTGCAGACAATTGACAGAAAACATTAGCCAGATGTTTAGTGGTAGCCAACAGAAATACTTGCATGTCTGATGAACAAAGAGAGACAAAGAAACACTCAGATATCAGAGAGAGAGGAACAACAGCTACCACATCTAAGAAGCTTTTTGTAGTCAAGTTTATTGCTTCTTCAGATTGTTTGGACTATCAATGGGCCTTTCATTGTAAACATGACACAAAATCATAATCAACAGTACAAATGTTCAATGGTAAAGCAATCATAATTTATCGACAAATTTACAAGTTTCTTCAAACAGTAGCTTAAATAAACATGATTATACAAATAGCTGTTGTTGAAAGCTAGGATGATCAGGTTAAGCTTAGCCATCCTGTTACTTCTACCATACAAACAAGGAGCCAAACTAATAACATGTTAAAATTGCAACTGCTTCCATATGTTTCAAATAGACTATATCATAATTTGGTGAATCATTGACCCTCATAGAGATCATCTAATGCAATGGCATTCACTTTCCGGTCAAGGGAATCTATTCAACACATAGCATATTTCCACTAGGATACCAATTTGGATGATCTCTTCATATGATCCAAAAATATTACATGGATGGTAATACAGAAACAATATGGAGAGATTATTAATCAAAAGAGTACAAAACCTAATGCATTTTAATTGTTTTCCCACCCCAAATGTATGGTATGGAAAGTTGAACAAAGAAGTCAAGATGGGAATAAGAATCCATACCACAATTTTCTCATTTAATGCATCTCTCTCCTCAAAAGTCTTGTCTAAGGTTATCTTCCCAAGTTCACTTCTCATGGTTGTTTGTGCAAGTTGTAGGACAGCGTAGATTGGATTCTCCACACCATAGGAAGCAAGGTAGGGGTCCATGATCTGCAAAATTCAACAAAATAATGAGTTTTCGCTCAGCACTCCAAAGCCTGAATACACAACTTCACTTTAGAGGAATTTCCAAATCTGACCAAGAGCATGCAGGTCACTCGACTCGATGGTACTAAGAATAACACATGCACTTACCACAGTAATGCTTAAAGGACTTACAAAAAAACACAGATGGATAGTGACATTACATCAAAACAGAATGGATTGAATTATACTCCCTCCATTCCAAATTATAAGACATTTTGGCTTTTCTAGATACATAGCTTTTGCTATGCACTTAGATATACACTATGTATAGATACATAGTAAAAATAATGTATCTAGAAAAGTTAAGACATCTTATAATCTGGAACTGAGGGAGTACATCCATTCATAAGTTCCTGTGTCAAATATAATGTTTGCTATCCTATGGAATAAAACCATAGTTTTAAAGGCGGTTAGGCGTCCAGGCGAGTGCTTGGTACGCCTGGACGCCTAGGCGGCGCCTAGGCCACAAGGCGCCACTGTTTCCCAAGGCGAGCTGGGTACGCCTGGACGCCTAGGCGTCGGAAAACACTGAATAAAACAAAACCAGAATTAAGCATTAGGGCCAAACAGCCACTCTACCTCAAATGACACAAAATACCACAAATGAAAAAACTCAGCAGCTAACCAAAATAAACAAAGATTGGTCCAACAAACATTATATCGCAAGGAAATAAGCACCATGTTTACAATCACAAAAACTCATCATCACATACATCTTTCCCATAAAAAAAATTGACACTGAGTTGGGTTTTGATTAGATGCATATATCTATGGAAGCACTAAAACCAGTATGATCCACCTGGAAGCAAACTAACCAAATCATAAAAAATACCCATTTCTGAACACAAGGCTATGCTGAGTTCTACAAAAAATTGTGTAATTTTTTGTCGCCAGGGCAATGAAGCAGTAAATTATGTGGCACACCATCATTGGTTCTACATCCCTGAAAAAGCTTTGATTCCAAACAAGGAAACATCTGAAGGTGTAAATCAAATACCATATTTTATCCAAAAAATTAGGAACATCTTCAAGAGGTTCATGCATGGGAATTGTGCGGCATCTTGAACTTGCTACAGTCATTGAGAATGTGCCTAGGCATTGATCTCGACGACCAAGGGTGGTACCATCTACAATGTAGTGCAGCCAGAAGGGTATAATATCATCGAACCCATACAAAAGAGCACACAAGAGTGTCAATCTGCATCCGTTGTCCCAGGCATTACAATGATTACAATGAATTCCATAATAACTATCCAACTCATACTAGGCAAAGTGGCAATGTGCTACCAACAACATGATGCCTTATCCT